GGTTAGGTGCTTTAGGGGTTATTAGAGTTATTCAGCAATTAAAACCAGCTGCCAAACAGCAGTGATTCAGACATGACATAGTGACCTAGTTTATTTGTCAAATTAAATCACAATTGGCTGGGTTCATATACTGCCCTAAGTCATAAACAAAAATTCACAAATGATAGTGGTTGGACTCACAGAAGACAACATGACAAAACTAAGCAAAATATAATTTACCATGGTCTAGGAACCCATTATCTGTCTCCAAGTATAGAACAATCTCCCCCTTTTATACCTCAGTTGCTCTTCTTCTGCTTCTTCACTAGAACTACAAATTAAGATTACACTCACAAGGAAATGATGGTTAAGGACCAAGGTTAAACAAAATGTATTCACATTCCTTGGGGAAAAAATATTTCAAAGGTTGTTTTATGCCTTGAGATAATAAGATCCCTGATTCATTTTCACTTTTAAAAATCTATGTGATTGTTAAAAGTCAACACCACTAATCTCATATAATCAATCAAATCCTCACTCGAATCTGGAGAAAATCATAATCTGCATTTAAACTACCTGTGAAAGACAGCACAACCACATATTCTAATAAATTGTTTCTAGTTTAGGATGCAATTTGTAGAATTACAGCTGTATACAATACAAAATCAGAATCTGCAAACTATTTGGAACCATTTTACCTTTAAATCCCATTGGTAATTTTCAGTTCTGATTTTTTATATCTTGTAAACAATTTATAGTGTTTATCCCCAAATTTAATTTTTCTGAACTGTCTTTACTCCATTGAATTTGTCATTTCAGTACAGTCTTTGACAGACAGAATCACACATTGCTTTCAGAGAACAATGTTCAGTGCACAACTGCACAGAGGATCTGAACAGCCTGAATGACAACAGTTTTTATACAAAGGAAAGGGTTTTTTTCTCTTTTCAAGCTTTTACACTTGGAAATTATTGGCAGACAATTAAAGGAAAACTGAACTGTAACTCCCTGACATTCTACATATGCCAAACAACAAATGTGTATTTATTCTGAAAAAGCCTTGAGGAAATCTATTGGAGTTATTCACTATAAACACTGCTTAGTCTTACACCCAATTCTTTAAAAGAAAAAGAAAAGTGATTCTTTTATAGTTTTGCACATCTTCATTTAGTGTACCAGAAAGGGGAAAAAAGAACAGAAAAATTAGAATTACTCAAAGGAGATAATGGGTTCCATACATAATTTTGCATCAGCAACCTTCCCACACTTCTTGAAATCTGTATTATCTATATTATCTTTTCTATCCCAAATCAACATTTATGAACTAATTTTCGCAGGAGATGCTTTGATTGTCAGAAAGGATAGATTCCCTTATATTGTAATAGCATTGCTCTGTGGGGAAACCTGGGCATCAATTATTCAGATTTCTTGCTTTGAATCCAGATGTGGATAATTACAAGTTCAATGTAATTTATTTCATTTTAATCCATAATCAGGAATTATATCA